GCTTATAACTTCTGACCCGAAAGGCCTTGGCTAGGCAGGCTGCCAGGGCAGGTAGCACAGCCTCTCTGAACTGGCCAGTGTTGACCAGACTGAATGATCAATTTTGACTTGTGACTTGGAATGATTGGATCATAGAGTCCTCTCTAGCCACTTCTCTAGCCACAGTAGAAGCAAAGTTGTAAAAATAAGTTGGTTTTCATCTTGGTCAGCATGAATCACAATGGCAAAATTGACTGTAGAAGGAAGGTCAACGTTATTTTTTGAGGGGGTGAAATTTTTGGCTTCCTGAAGCAGAAAGGAATGATAAATGTAAGAGACTTGTAGCTGGGCTGTAATTCCATCCACACGGAGCCAGGATGGAAGAAAAGAAAGGAACATGGAGTCTTGTGGAGGGTTCAGTTGGTATTTATGGTGTAAGGTAATGTACTTTGCTAACCTCATTTCAGCACAACTGAAACAGCAGGGGGGTGGAATGTTGTATTTACAAAAATGTTCCGGTCACATGTGAAGAAGGGAGAGAAATATGAAATCATACAAGCAGACCAGCACTGGCAGGCTCATTAAGCAATGCATATAACTTTCCACATGGTCACATTTCATTTTACGTTATAGGCACCAGGTAAGTAGGGATAGCACACTCATTTGTAAGTCATATCCTGCCCCAAACTGCTGCTGTGTCCTTTTGAGGCTTTCTAATTTAACCCCTGTAACACACATCTCTCATATATCAAGGGAATGATTACAAATATTCTGACATTGATCTCCTGGCCTATTAAAAAAAATGCCTTATATCTTGTCCAGGAATATGCCACCATCTTATTTGTTCTTTTTGAATAAACTATGGAGTAGTTTACCACTTCATCCTTCCAGAACAATCTATGAATAGAAGGATTAAGCCTAGCATACTAGACTGTCCTGGAAACAGAGAAGTAGTGCATTAATTGGCTAGTGGCACCTTGCATGAACCAGTTTTGTTTATTTGTTTGTTTTTAACTTGTTGGATTTTTGAGACAGGGTCTTTCTGTGTAGTCCTGGCTGTCCTGGAACTTGCTTTAGAGAGCAGGTTGGCCTTGAACTCACAGTGATTCACTTATTCTGCCTCTCTTGAGTGCTGGGATAAAAGGCATGTACCACTATTGCCCTGTTTGGGCAGTGTTCCCCCCCCCCCAGTTCTTTTTCACTTCCACAATAAATTGGATAAATTAATTTTATTATAGTCACACAGTGATGCCAGACTGTAAACATGAGGAAACTCTGGACAGAAGCTACAACAGGGATGAACCTCACAGACATAATGATGAATGAAAACTACCAGCCACATTCTTCATGATTAGCTTGACAGGAAATTCGGAAGCAACTCGCTGGTATTGGGATGGGGTGGCCTGCATTATAGTGGTGGGGTCAGTAGGTGCTCCCAGAAAGAGGAGTGACTGAAACAGAATCTGGAGGACTTTCCATACTCTGTATCTTGATCCAGGTGTGATGACGGTCACGTGGGTGATTATACAAGTGAAAATTCCTTGGCTCCCATTTGATTTACACTTCCTGAACAGCAAACACCAGCATCCACCATCATTATCACCATCATCACCACCTTCACAATTTATTTAAGACTCCAACAGTATCATCATGCCCTCAGCTCCGCTCACACAGAAAATTTCACTCTTAAATAAATCATTTGGAATAGAATTAAACTGTCATTTCTACTTTGCTTTTCTTTGTAATCTCCATTTAAACACCAGCAACTGATATAACAGAAAATTAGGGCTTAAAAAAAAAAAAACAATGGCTAGTATACAGTACACAAATCCAACCCTTGAACCATTTTCTTTCTAACCATTTTCTCAGTGTCTCCAAGTTGTTGTAGTTCTCCAGCACACAATGAACCAACAACAGGGTTAGGGAGGGAGACCCTAGGGCCATGACACCTCCTGTCTGGCCTGTCTGGTAGTCGCCCACTTTTCAAAGACGCATGTTTCTAATTAAGGCAAATGGGACAAATGGACCACTGGTCTTCATTCCAAAGGACAGCATGTAAAGAGCTAGGTAGGAACCTTGATTAATGGGCCGCTTTAGACTAGGCTAAGAGATGCGCTGCTCTTTGCCCTTCCTCTAAAGAGTGTGGTCTTTTGCTATGGTCCAGAGTGTCAACGTCAAGTTCCCCACCATAGCTCTTCCTCTTTCATATTTCACAAGAACAAGACTTTAAAATAAACTAAGCAGGGGATTGTTTGCATTATGAGTGAGCTCCCCCCCCCTTTCCTCTGCCTAATAATCATCTGCATAACATTGATGTGGCTAGGGAATTGGGACTATAGTGTCTGTAGGTGAGAGGTGTTCTGGAACCCTTGTTCCAGGGAAAGCCTTCACAGTGGGTGCTGGCATCCTTGCGCGCTGCACACGTCTCTCTTCTTGCAGCCTGGGAGCCTGTCGGGCACAAAAAGGCCTTCGAAAAACATGTCTAAGAAGCCATTAAGAGAAGGAGAAAGGAGCCTCAATGAAATCATACTGCATTTGAGATTTAGAAAACTCCACTGTTTATATAGCACTGAGTAGAGGGCGTGAGCACTCGATGTAACAGAAGACTACCTTACGTTTTTTACACGTATGCAAAATGAAATGTTTAGTCTGTAAAACTCGGTGTGAACTCTAGGGTAGAGGCTTGTTTTTATAGAAATTGGTACATGTGGTGAACCTCTTTGCGATAGCCATCGTATTTCTTACAAGATCCTATCACAAAATGTAGTGTATTTCCCACGGTTTGTGTTTGGATAGGAAATTGTTTAGTTTCTTTGGTCCACAAAATGTATGAAGTACTGTCTTGAATTAGGACTAGCTTTCCTTGCTGTTGGAGGGAATGGCTTTCTATGTGGAAGCCATGCAGAAGCACCCTGTCATCTCACACACGTGTGACTGCAGGATGGAACCGCTTGGCTCATTCTCGTCCCAGAAGCTCACCCACGGAAAGGTGAGCACTAATTGTTTTAAGCTACTCTGTGTTGGCGGTTTTGTTAGCCATCCAAGACTAATTGGCTACATTTGAGTGCTTTATGTGCTAAGTTCTACTATTAAGAACTGTCAGTCACACAAATGGTAGCTTCTCGCACACCTTTCTGCAGATAATACTTGAGGAATATAGGGTATACAAAGGAAGACTTGAGGAACTGGGCTGGAGTTTAACTGCATCTTTTATTGGCTGTGCAACTTGGGGCAAACGGTTTACTTTTTCTGAGCCATCGTTTTTCACACATAGGGAGAACACGCCTGCAGTGCTGCCCTAACCCCTTACTAGTCAGTCTCAGTTTAAGTTCACCAATATCAGAAGGAGTCGTCAGAAACGCAGAGCACCAGGTTTTACTCCCATCATGTCCTACCCACTGGACCCCCAGAAGCACTGACATGGGCCCAAACCAACACATCTTCAAGACCCCTGGCCAGCCAAGTACCAGCTTTCTCTGGGATCTTTTGTGTCTTTTTAACCTTACAGGAAAAACTGGTCTAGGATTGCGAATATTTCTCCTCAGTTCTGTCACAGGCAGGCTGGCTCAGTGCTCAGGAATCCTTCTCAAAGCTCACTTAAAACCGAAGCCTTGTGTTTAGCTAGGGAGTGCTCAGTGGCTCTCAGCCCATCTCCCTTAAGGTAGCAAACTGTTTTTTCTTTTTTGTTTTGAGACAAGGATCACGCTGGCCTTGAACCCACGGTATAGTCTAGGCTGCTGTCAAAACCCATACCAACTGGGATTACAGGCATGTGCCATCACACTAGTTGATCAACTTTCGATGGTTAGTCCCCTTTTACTCCTGAGAGAAATTGCCAGAGAGAATCAGCGGAACGACTGTTTTGCATTTTTAACGGCTTGTGCCACAGTGCCTGGTCTGCCTCTTGCCCTAATAGCCTGCCCCTCTACTCCTCATTTCTTAAGCTACCCTTCAAGCCGAGCCTTTTCCTCTTGACCCGCTAGACCAGCTCAGGCAGCTGAGCATGCCCAGTTCAGCCTGGAGCATGGGCCCCAGTCCCCAGTGCGCAGGTGCCACGTCTCCGGGTTTTGGTGGCCGCCGTCAGGCGGGAGGGGGGGGGGGGGAGGAAGCTAGAGAGTCCTCGGTTGGAGGAAGCCCTCGGGGAGTTCCGGAGCAGCTCGGATAGGGTCTTCACAAAGGGTGTCCCTGGATGCACACTGCCAGACCGCCTGAGCAGGACTTGGGACATCCGGGTGTCGGTTGCAGGGCCAGGGCGAACTGGGAGAGCTGGCTGGAGCGGCCCCCAGCATCCCTGGGACCAAAGTCTGGGTGTGGAGTGGGGTGCACATCTTAGGATCACTTGGGGGAAGACTTTGGAAATCACTTTTTCTCTGGCTCAGTGTAAGCGTGTTGTAGTACTTCCTCCGGCAGATTGTTTCTCGGGCTTAGTGAATAAAATGCCTATTTCTCGCAGTGCCTGCTGCAGTGTACACGCTCTCCGTGTTTGTTCAATGTAACATAGACGAAAGCGCAGTTCCCGCTCCCGGCTCTGGCTGGCCCGCGCCCCCTCCTCCCGGGCAGGGCACCCGCTGGGTCGTTGGTCACCAGAGCGTGGTGTCCCGCTGCGGGCTTAACTCAGTCCCCGCGGGCGCGTCCCGGGACCCTGCACCCGGAAAGCAGCGGCGACCCCGGGACAACCAACCCGCTCCCCCCGCCCCCCCCCCCCATGGCCGGCCCGCTCGGCCCGCTCGGCCCCGGTCCACCCCCAGCCCCGCCGGGCGCCGCACTGGGCATGCTCCGTAGCCTGGGCAGGTTGGGGCTGCGAGGCGACGGCTTGGGCTCCAGAGGTAGCGTCGCGGCCGAGAGCAAGGGCGGCGGACCCGGGGCCGCACGGGGCCCGGCTCGGCGGGAGCGGCGGGCGGCGCCCCGGGCAGCGGGCGGCCGAGGTGAGCGCGGCGAGGAGGCGCAGGCCGGTGGGGGGCGGAGGCGGCGGAGGGCGGGGCGGCGCCGGAGGGGCTCGGCCGCCGCGGCGGCGGGGAGGGGGGTGGCGGCGCGCGAGCGGCTAAGGAGCCGCGCCGCAAACAAGCTCTCACACGCGCGCACACACACGCACACACACAGACACAGACACACAAACGCGCGCGCGCGCGCGCGTATACACACAGCGGGGCTCCCGGAGGCGGCGGCGGCCGCATCCCCGGCAGCGACTCGCCTCGAAGTGACAGGTAGGAGAAGGCGCTTCGGGTCCCGCCCGGGGATGCTCCAGTCGCTCCCTGCCCGCCGGGCTACTCGGCTTCCCGCGGGTGCGTCCCGGACGCGCGCGCGCGCCCCCGGATGCCCTGCCGGGGGACCCGGTGCAGGTGCGGGGTGCGAGGCGCCCTGCGCGGGAGGCAGGGGACCCCGCCGCCACCCGCCTCCCCGGCAATCATCTGCTACTGGGTTTCCTCTGCCTACCCGGACGTTCACCCGCTTCTGCGCTAGAAATAGCTCGGCTCGACGTGTATATGATTATTTTGGTTGGAAATAGTTGGCACTGTGCAACGCATGTAAATGTGTGTGCGTGTGCATCTTCAGCGTCTTCTGGGGACAGCTTAAGAATGATAGAGCGTTTCCACTTGACACTGACAGGCTAAGCGCTCCTTCTGGGCAGTGTTTGGGCCTCCTAAAAGCACGTAAATGAAGGTTGCTTTATTTTCAGAAGTTTAAAGTTGTTTTCTTAGTCAATTAGACCCTGTCTATATTGTACAAAATTTCCGAGTTTAGACTTCGTAAACTACTGAATCGAAGTGTGAAAACAGAATTCTCCAAATGAACAAGTCTAGAGTCTTAAAACCAGCATTTTTCTAGAAAGAATGGCAAGTGTCCATTATATTTCCACAAACATGCATGCATTTGAGATATGATTTTTTTTTTTTAAGAAAACTTCCTATAGCGATTCTTCCTATTGTTGTAAAGCAAGGTGCTTGAGATTTATTTGGGACAAAGCATTTGTGGACAGTCACCGTTTTTTTAAAGCCCGAGTGGGATACATGGTGGGCCATATACTTAAGTTTTCCATTGTGGAGATACGTGTTCAGTGGTTTGGTTGGAAGTAATGTCCAAACGCAGGCAGATGTACAATGCTTTCAAAAAGAATTGAATTTCTCCTTTAAAGAGAAATCAGATCGTAGAGATGGTCAGCAAGAGCAACCAGTGACTTGACCTGGGCGTACTCCTGTGAGCCCAGAAAGTGAGGAAGAGGAGAAGATGGTGTGTGTGTGTGTAAAATTTTAACTTAATTTTTTTTTTTAGTGTTTTCAGAACTGGTGGTTTTTAAGAGATGTGTTTGAACTGAGAACCTAATGTCTTGAACCCTTCAAACTTTGATAACCTAAGTCCCAGAATCATACCGAGGATCAGACATTCAGCTCACCAGAATCCTGTGGTGTAATCCCTGGCTGGCTGTGTTATGTAATCTAGCATGCTGTTTTTTTTTTTTTCACAGAACAGTCTTGCATATGTTTCAACTGGTGTATTGATCTATTATATCATCTTTTAAAACTGTAGACGTTTACACATGACCGGTGTCTTGGGTGAACCTGTAAGAAAAAATTACATTTAAAATGAAATAGCGTTTCTGAGCCTTTTTATGGTCACGAAACTTTGCTGACAGAACTAGTGTGTCTTAACATGACACAATACGCTGCCAAGTGCTGTGTGCTACGTCCCTGGTTGTGCTTCCCTCCAACTTCTGTTACTCAGCCATCAGAACTTAGTTTTGATTTAGCTTTGATGATATCACTACCAAGCTCTGAATTAATCACTGTGGAAATGCTGTTTTACAAGTAACTGTCAAAACAGAATTTCAAAGACTCCATTTGATCACAGGGAACACATTTACATCTGTTGGAATAATTCTACTTTTATTTTACAAATGCACACCCACACAGAAGGGCTTCGTACTGCAATATTCTTTCTCAAGCTTTCTATCTGTGTGCTGGGAAATGTGAATGACGTTAAACTTGCATGCCCCGGAACCCAGGCTGTGTGCTTGTTGTCATATCAGATAGGGAAATAACAGGAATTAAAAAACCCTTCAAGGTTTCAAAAGAGCTTTTGGAGAGGTGGATTTTAAATATTTGTATCACCCTTGAAATAATTCATTCCATCTCCAACAGAGACCCTTTAGTGCTAATGTGTTTGTTTGTTTTCTTTCCAACAATGTATCCAGCTGCCTTTAGGTCCATCAATGTATACTGCTGATTTGGGCAGCATGGAACATATTTGGCAATCCTAGTGAACATGGTATTTCCTTAGGCTGCTGCTAATCTCTTTTAAGATTTGATTTACTGGTAATCAAATGACCAAATGCTTGCCTTGCTTTCATGCCTACCTACCCTTTGTGTAAAATTGGGTTTATACACAGTTGAGGTGTCTGTGAACCCACTTCAGTGGCATGCTTCCGGGGACAGTGTCTGCTTGTCAGCCCTGGTTTTTCAAATGCAGGTGGCAAACCCGAATGTCATAATTAATAAATAATTTTTGGTGGATTTTCACAACGTTAATAATTAGTTGCCACATTGGATTTTTTTAAAATTATAAAATCTTATGTTGCAAGTAAATTACATCTTTTTGGACCAGAGCAGTTAGGTAATAGTGCTTTGTGAAGGAATAATTTTTGTAATTTTCACACTTTCAACAAATGCCCTAATAGTAAACACAAGTATTTTGGGGAAAATATAAATATTACTTGAAAAATGAAAATTATGAGGCAGACTAGGACGTCCTTAATGTCATTTGTGCCCACTTCTAGAGTAGGAACAAAAGAGCATGTTTTCCTAGCAGGGATGACCCAGGCCTTGAGAACGCTATCACTGTGAGTTCCGTAAAAGCAAGAAGCTCCGCATTTGATACTTAGAATGAGGTCAAGGGGCCCATGAGGATGTTTAGTGGCCGCTGTTGGCAGTTGGTGTCCAGGTTGCAGTTTGTAAATAGTTCCTTTTAACTTCCCGAGTGAATGTGTCTCTGGAAGAGACCTGTTCACGTCTTGAGAAATAAGGACATCTTCCAGCACTGACAGGCACCTGGTTTTGCAGCTCCTGTTCCGATGTTAACCTTGTTTGCAAGGATGCTGCTTAACTCTGAGCCCTGTCCACGTCCACCCCCCCATCCCCCCACCCCACCCCCCCACCCGTCATAGGCAGGGCACAGAATAACCTTGCTTCTGTTCCTTTGTGTTTGTTTTTCTGTTTAATAGTTTTTCCTTTGATAAAGCCTCCCCTTTAGAGCAGAGCTGCTTCCTCAAGCTGTAATATTGTTTTCTAGGTATGACTTTGAGTGTCCGTGCCTCCGGTTCTTTACCCCCACCAAATATAAGAATGGGTGTAATTCGCCTGTGGTGTAGGGAGACTCCAGTACTAATACAGCGGTGAGCGGGTGAATGAGAATCTTGCATCGTCCTTGTATGTAAGCCTACTTTCAGAAAGTCAACCCAGTTCTCATGATCGTGAACCTCACTTACTGAAGCCTGGCTGGGTTTTCCTCCCTTTGGATGCTGTGGTCCTGTGGAAGGTGTAACCAGAGTTCCTAGAGGGTGGTGGTAATGCCCTCCATTTCAAAACTTAGCCAAGAGGTCGTTTTGTTTGGGAGAATGAATGTCCAATTTTTTTTTTTTTTTTAAAAATATTCCCAGTTTCAACGGTGCCTTTTCTTTCCTTTCCTATATGGAAACAAAATAGGTGGCTAGGACGTAGATGAGAAGAGGGTCTTCTCTGAAGACCTCTCCCGGCTGCTCCTCACAGAGCCTGCAGTGAGAATCCCCTCCGCCACGTGACCACAGAGCCTTATCTTCTCTCCACTGGGAGTCTCCCATAGCTCTTCTCACAGGATCCCTGGAGGATTCCAGGCAAATGTTACTTCAGTGTCCACCACCCTTGGAGAGCATTGTTTTCCCCTAAACAATTAAAGGATGCTATTGAGCTCCTTAGCACAGATGAACTAAAGTAGCCTTTTCCTTAGAGGCAGGAAGAATAGCGTTAAGTCAGATTCACCTTAAGTGAATACAGCGCTCAGGTCTTTAATTTTTACTTCTTTCCAAGTGACAATTACAGCCGGCACTGGAGCCATTCCTTGGTAACATCTGGCATTTAATGGCTTGAAAAGAGGTGCATTCTCATGAATTCGTGTTGTTTTGTTAATTTTAGATTCATTTATTTTTATTTTACGTATATGCGTGTTTTGCCTGCCTGTATGTCTTAGTAGCATGTGTGTGCAGTGCCCTAGGAGGCCAGAAGAGGGCATTGTATCCTTTGGAACTGGAGTTACAGAGGGTTGTTAGCTGGCCACCATGTGGCTGCTGGGAACCTAACCTTGGTCCTCTGGAAGATCAGCGGCAGAGCTACCTCTCTAGCCCAATGTGAGTTCACTTTTAAAACTTATGATTTTGATAAGTATGATTAGTGTCTGTGGTACTTATTAATAGTACTTAATTTTATATATTTGAAATATGCTTAGAAGAGTCTGGGAGACTCACCAGGCTGCACAAATGGTGCATGACCCCCACAACGTGAAGAACTTTGGCCTGAGACATGGCCCCTGTCAGAGTTGTTGGGTGAGTAGCTGGGGAATTGTGTTCTGGGGTTCCCTTCACATGAAATGGCACATTTGAGATCCTACGGTGCTGGAAGAAGTCATCCCTGAGCTTCAATCCTGACCCTGTCCCATGACACAGCCATGTGGCCTCGACTGATTCTGGTGTTAAAGAATGCTTCACCACCCTTAGCCTCTGACCCAACCCCAGGCTAAGGCTGGTATAGCATGATTGGTGCTGGGGACAGCATTCGTGTTGCTGTGACAACCACTTTGCCTCTTCTCCCACTAATGCTACCAAGATCACTGCTCACAATTCTTACTTTCCTCCATCAGGGGCAGATGGCGCTGGTTTATTTGTTAAAGCCCGCCCAGGGGAAGCTCTTATTTATATTTATTTATAATATTTACACTTCTATCCTGCAATCAGGGAAGGTTCCAGTGACCCCACAGACCACCTCCTAGTGTCAGATCTTCCTCAGGACTCATCCCAGCATTTGGATAGAGAAATCCAACATTACTCAGCTCCAGTTGCCTTGAGATTCTGTGAGTGTAGGGTTTTGAACTGTAATGCTGGAGCCAGATGCTATCCCCAGGGCCTCTGTCCCTCAGCAAGGCTTTAAAATAGACCATATTAAGTCATTTAGCCTTGCAAGGA